CTGTGTGACTTCTTCCTCTTCCCAAAGATGAAAATTCAGCTCAAGGGAAGGAGATTTGAGACGATAGAAGAGATTCAGGCAGAATCGCAGATGGTGCTTGACAGGCTGACAAAGAAAGATTTCCAGGGATGCTTCCAGGCTTGGCAGCGGCGCTGGGATCATTGTGTTCACTCCCAGATTAACTACTTCGAGGGTGATGGATGAATTTAATACCTGAGATAAGTGTACGGGTTTTTATACGCGCAGTCTTGAAACTTTCCGATCGCACCTCGTGTTGTGAAATATGGATACATTCCTGCCTCATTTACTCAGGTTTGACAGCTCACACACATTTGTCATTTATTCCAAAAATGCATTGACATATGATGAATAATATACTCAATATTCAGTATTGTATTTGTAATTTGCTATGGAATAAACCTATTTCTAATATAACGTGTGACCATATTAGCCATATATTGCAGTATGCCAGATGTTAATTAAAACCTGATCCACGTAAAAATTTAGAAGAGGATATAAAACTTGGCAGGATGTGACTTCTAAGTTTTTCTGACCGTCATTTTTCACACTCTGTTCAATCAGGTTCAGTTCTCTGCTTATATGTAATTGCACTGCAGTTGTATTTGAGAAGGCCATGTGCAAGGATGTCTTTTTACAAGTGCATATAGTGTTTCACTGTCGAAAACTACCTGGCATCTCGATAATAAGTTTAGGGATACATTTCCATGCTAAACAAGTCGGCAATATTTCGTCTCGTCTCGTGTGCCGTTTCCATTATAGCAGAAACTTTCCGACGTTCGTGTCAGACATGAGGAAAAGAGTGGTTGCATACATCACTGGAAGCACTTGACATTTGCAGCATTTAATATAAGAGTAGGTTTTTTTTTTTATTTCGGTGTAATTTATTATTTTATTATCAGACCAATGCGTAATTTTGGCAGACTTCTGAAAGACTTATTTTTACTTATTCATTTTCCAAAATGCCATAAAGGGATTTTCATTGGGAAAACAATCAAGCTGTTCGTGAAAATTTTCTAATTATTATCAAAGATCAGCACCTGAAATCTTTGTCCTGTGTAATTAGTGACTGTCGTGATTAAAATACCTATTATTTTTCGTGGTTCAAAGGACATGAGACATGTGCACTAAGTTTATAAAGCTATTTTGGTGATGGTAATGCAACTTGACACAAAAATAATTGTCAGCATCTGCCATGAAGAGAATCTTAGTCTCTGTGCTGAATGGCACGTCTTCACAAGCCGGGGAAGGGACCAACAGATGGAATAGGGGGACAGTGAAAAGTCTTGCTTCAAGAGCAATTATACAGAGAAAATTCAATAATGGAATTCAGACACCTCTTGAAAAATTCAATTACTGCAACAACAACCTACAAAGTGTATTACTTTAAAGCCAAGAATAACAATTTTTAAGTGTAAAAAGGAATTTGCATATTGATTTGATGAAACAGTCGCAATGCCAAGAACACGAACTTATCATTTTTTAAAGTCGTTGAACTCAGGTCAATAAATACAGCCGTTACGTTTGTGTTCTTGTATTTTACAACACGCCAAATAAATGATATTAACACACCTTTGTTAGAAACAACGCATGTGTATACATTCTGCCCTAAGTGAATGCGGTACGTAA